TTCTTTTCTTTTTTTTTGTTCAAAAGCTAAACTCATAAGTACTCCCAATGTAGGAAGACTAAGCTAACACTAGAAAACAAAAGTTTTTGTGCAAACATTACACTTGCATGTTTGCATTACAATTTTATGTCTATGCTAGTTATCCAATATTCAACACCCATTAAAATATTACATTCAAGAAACAGCTTCCTATTCTTCTGTCTTACATTTACATTACTCAATTATTTTGGAAGGCTCATTATGCCAGCTTAGGTTTCCACTAATGTGAATTCTCTGTGGCTCTTAAAAACACCCCAAATTGAATTATTGTTTTCATCTTCTGGGAGTCTCACTCATTTTCCTACCATTAATCTATTTGTATCATTTTTTATTGCTCTCCTCAGTTTCTTTTTCTTTTTAAAATCTATTGTTTTTCAAAAATCCCTTTATGAATTTTAAAATCTTGAGTTTATCCTTCCTTTCTATCTTGGTTTTTTGGGATTTGTTTTCATTGCACGTCTCTTTCTGATCGTGGTCATGTTTTCCTTTCTGCAACCTGTATTCTTGTCAGCCATCCCCTGCTTCATCTTTTACTTGTATCTCACATTCTGTCTCAACTGTCTCTCTAACCCAATCATTATCTGTGGTCATGACCATGATCCCTATATATATTTCTAAAAGGGCCCATTAGTTTCCCGTTTGTCCACAGAAGGATTTCTTTTCCCATTCCCCTCTTACCCACATCAGTGCTTCCACACAGAAGATTAGATTAAAGTTCACATTCAATAGCTGAGAGTCCACAGCACAGAGTCCACAAAGATGCTTGTGGTGTACACAGTGATGGAGTCTTGTAGTGGTTTCACAGTGAGCTAATGGTTAGAGAAACCAGCTTTTGACCGGAAACACAGTGAGTTCCTTGAAATAATGGCATTTCTTTCCTGCTTGACCTACACAAAAATAGCCTATCTGTTTATCTGCAGAGATGTTTGCTTGGCAGCAGTGACTCATCTATGCACTGAGACTTTTTAAAATCTGTTATTTTTTAATAAACTTGGAATAAAAAAGAAAATCAAACATCAACATCAAAAGGTCTACTTAGGTTCTCTCAGCTGCTTGATAAGAAGGCAACTGGACTTAGTTTGGTTTGTGAAGATGGTTAGCCTCTCGTCATTTAGTTCTAAAACAACTGATGTACCCTTTAACCTTGTAACTGAAGATGCAGACACCCTAACAAATGCAGCATGAAAATCTTTTTCAAATTTTGTGGGATCAGATGTTTTTTGGAGACATATTGTAACTTGTATTATAGAAACACATACAGAAGACAACAGACATCAAGGCGGGAATGAAACGAAGGTACCGGTTTGAAATGAGCAGCAGGTTTTGTGTTTAAGATGTATATGTTTTAACAAAAAAGGAAATAAATAAAAATTAATTTGAAAGAATAAGGAAACTATATTATTTTGAATACAATCTAAAAGCAATTTATAACACCTTGTATATTTAACTGTTTAACTCTAAGTCAAGTGTGTCATATTGGATATACGGTATGCGTTTTTGTGAGTTTCTGAGACTTCTACATACTCAGTGTGACTTTTTTCCCAGAAAAAGTCCAAATAAAATCTACAATTCACTTTTGAGGAATGCACTGAAAAAGAAAATGCCTTATCAAATATTATACAAATTTAAAGGGCCTCAAATGTAAAAGGGTTAAGCAGTGTTTAAAGTTTGCCTGAAAGTAACAACCCATGCTGCTGAAATCACATTTGTAAGGCGTAGATCCTGCCATAGGGAGCAATTACAAAGACTGTATTGTCTACAATTATTTCTTGCATTAAGTGACGTACACAGATGCACACAAACTCAAACACACAGAAAACAGGTGACACTTTGAGATGCATGCCAGTTGTGTTTCCATGCTGACAGTAGATTGGAGCGTTTGGCTTGCGGTTTTTACAGATTGGTTCTGCTCAGCCAGAAAATACACCAGCATTATAGCAGAAAATTACAGAAACGTCTGTGTATGAGTAGGGCACATTTGTTAGTGTGCAATCATTCATTTCTGTCCTTCCTTTGAAATCTAGATACTGAAATAAGTCTTCGGGGTAAATACTGACTGCTTATACACTGTAATTTGGAGACAAGTACCAGTCTGTGATATGGCATCTGCATTTGTTTGGGCATGGTATTGCTTGGCACTCCATGCTGTCTGACGATGTGACCTCATACAACACCATAAGCTTTAAGATAATCAAATCATTCACAGAACACTCCAGCATTTGCCAACAACTGACACACACACACACACTGAAATAGCTTAGGGAGTTTTCCCTGATGGTAGATTCCCATTTGGATGCATGGAAGTATATTGGCTGCGCTAGATGATGTCAGCTGGTATTTGTTAGGATTGCTCCCGAGCTTCACTTCTTGCTCAGCCTAAACATATTCCTGATTTGAGATTTTTGTGTGGTACTAAATTTTGAAGAATTGGGCTTTAAAAATTGGTTGCTGCGACTAAAAACAACTGGAATTTTACATGTTCTTTCCTGGAGATGGAAAAATCCTTTATAGTCATTTTTTTTGGCACATACTGATATCTGTATCAGCGGAAGCTAAAAAACAAATTTGTTTCTATTTGTTTTTTTGTTTAATGAAAAGTAAGAGAAGTCCAAAGGTTTTCAGTGCATGTACAATGAAACAGGCAAGCAATACAAGGGAGAGACTTGGTTTGGGGCATGGAATTGAGCGTTCTTGATAGTGCTTCAAAATGACGTCATTTAGACTAAACCAAAACAGATCACACCCTCACTCAAAAGACTTACTTTCTCAGTAACATGTCGGCTTGAGTGGAGAAGAATAAATGTGGCTTGTTCTAAAATTTTAAAACAATATTTCAAATTGATGCTAATGATTTACTGATTAAACTGAAAGGAAACTGTAAAAACATAAAGCTATTTTTCTATTTTTGGTAAAGAACAGTCATCTCTAGTCCGAAATACATGAAGCTAAATGACTGTAACTTTGTTTCTTAATGTTAATTCCTGAATCCTAATGCTTACTATTGTTATGTGATTATAAAACCTGTTTTCTACCTAGATTTATAGAGTGAGTCTTTTGCAAATAGCTATGCAACCTTGCATTAACATCATTAAAGTTCATATGAAGTCAGTTATTCGAATGTTCTTACATCCACTTAGCTTTTCATTTTTTCCTGTATTCCTGAATAGAAAAAAGGAGCTGTAGGATAGTTGTAACGACACCAGAGAATTGACATTTTTATTTATCCATTAGACAATAGATAAAGACAGCAATAATGCTGGTTTCTATTGTTAAAAAAAAGTTGTTGTTTTTTTTGTTGTATATTCATTACTGATATTTTACTGCAAAAATGTGCTTACGCATGTAATATAATTTATAGCAATGGAAGAATCAGACAAAGCAGATTAAGGTTTTTTTTTTGTTTTGACTTTTTTTTTTTTAGTCCTACTTCCTCCTAGAAAAATCACATTATCTGCAAAGAAAACTATGACAGTTAGATTGAATTCATACCATGGTATATAGCTTCCACCCCATGGCCATGAGGAAACATACACCAAAGCTAGCAGATTAATTTCAGAACTGTTTACCTCATACGTTACCAAAGAAGTAAAGAAATAAACAAAACATCTCTACACAGCAGATGTTCATTCTCTGCCTCTTTATCCCACTATAGGCTCCAGATCATAGTCTCCTGTCCACTACTTTGAGTTAAGTTTGGAGTAAAGACAACAACAGGATGAGATAGCAGAGCACATAGGAGAGAGATCACTTGCAATCCTGTGGTATGTTTTGTCTAGGATGCAACACATCCTGCTTCCAGGCACTAAGAAGCCTTTTCCCCCACAATTTTTAACATACTATAAACATAACTGAGCTGGTCTGCTAATTTGTTCTACTTTTAAATGAAAAAAGAAGAAGAAGAAGGAGTAGAGTCTGATTATTACAGAGTCCTGCAAAGTGTGAAACATATCTCTGCTTAATGCTCACACATAAAACTGTCAAGACTTCACACGCAGCTTGGGTGATAGGTTAAACAGGCAGAGTTACATCTGCAGTGTATAAACAGACACCAAAAAAGTTGACCACACTGCAGCACTACAGTAAAAAAAACCAAAAACTGCTGCTGTTCATTGCAACTGTGTTTTTAGTTTTAGTTTGGAAAGCTGGACTGAGGCCAGCTGTATCTGTGAGAACTGTAATCTGTTTTTTTTTATGCACAGCCTATATACCTCAGACATCCGTTAGTGTTCTTTATAGGTGAAAATGAAAGTACAGCTGGAGAGTAATTGAGGGTATTTCACAATTCTTACCAAGAAAACAGGACATGCTAGCACTAGAAAATTTCTTCAGAACTATAAAAGATGGGATGTGGGATTAATCTAAATTCCTCATATTCTGTTGGTAGTACAGATGCTGTTGTTTACAGACTACCAGAAAAGTTCTTTTGTTTTGTGCACAATTATTGTGAAGCGTAAAGCCTTAAAGGCACTTGCATGGACATGGGCCTTGGTACTTGATATATGCATCTTCTAAAAGAGACATAATTTACTATACTTTAAATCAACAAAACCACATTATTCAAACCACTATGTTTATATATTTTTGCTTGCATATATTTAATTATTTTCATACTCATTTGGCTATTTGCAATCATAAGTTTAAAGGTGACTTCATAACTAAAAACCTGAGCCTTTTAATAATGATCATGGGGAGCACCACTGACCAATATGATTTACTATATATGAGGTCTGCAGTAGTGCTAGGAGGACATTGTGCTTGGATTCAGTGTTGAATGTAACAGCCTCATAGTTAAACTAATTAACACATGCATCGTTTTGCTGCTGCTGGCGACTTCAAATGTTGGGTCATTGCTACAAAGACAAATACATATATAGGCAGTGGCATCCTGCTAGAAAGTCTAGGTTAGTGACTATCAAGAGATCAACAGCTACAGTACGTAGACTGAAAGTGAATGCTCTTACCCAACACAATGACCACAGTCTTCAGAAGAGACATCATGGTATCTCGGTTGCGTCGTGGTCCAGAGCTGTGCCGTGACATCCTCATGGTTCTCTGCCTCACATACACAAAGATGTGGGCATATAGTGTCACCATGACAACAAAAGTCACAAGATTAAACACTGCCCAGAAGACCAAGTAAGAGTTGCTGTAGAGAGGTGCCATGTTGGAGCAAGACTTAATGCTACAGATACAGTTCCAACCTACGCTGGGTATCGCCCCCATGACTATGGACATAGTCCAGATAATGACAATCACAACCACCACGCGCCGGTTGCTCATGCGTGTGTGTAACTGCATGCGGAACACGGTGATGTGGCGTTCAATGGCGATGGCAAGCAGGTTGGCTACAGATGCAGTAAGGCTGGTGTCAATCAAGCCCTGACGCAGCAGCCATGTCGAAACAGTCAGACGCTTTGTGTTTGGTCCCGTGTTGAACATCAAGTAGAAGTACGCCAATCCAGCAAAGAAGTCAGCAGCTGCCAGGTTGGCCATCAGGTAGTAAATGGGGAAGTGGAATCTCCTGTTGACGTAGATGGCGATCATTACCAGAAGGTTGGCGAGCATGATGAAAATGCACACAGTGATGCCAAGGCCCATCACCAACCGGCTGTAGGTGTCCCAGTCGTTAGCAAGAGGCTTGTCGCTGCGGTTGTAGAAAAAGGTGATGCTCTCATTATAGTAGCATTGTTCCTCATCCATGGTTGTAGTGGTGTTTACTAAAATGAGAAAAGACATGGAATACATAAAATTTTCATAGAACACAGTCTTTTGATGTATATTTGAATACCATAGATTTAATTTCAAAAGGGAGGTTTATTTTTCAGATCCATGGAACTGAGACAACATGCACCACCTCAAATTAAAATCTGCATTATGAAGTCAGTGCTGTTTAACTTTTTTATTGTTTCCTTTACTTGATCACCTCGTGTAAATCACACCTGTGATGTTAAATCATCACAGAAGGAGCATTAAACTAAACAAAGAAACACTTCCACTGAATGTTCAAAAGCATATGTGAGTATTTCAGCTTATCTGATTATCTGATTGCAGTGCTGTGTGAGTGAAACGTGAATCCTTTTCTCAGATTTTATCTTGACAGGCTGATACTTACAGAGGTTTTGCTAGAAATTGTTACAAAACAGTAGATGCAGTGTGATCAAAACGCCTTTGTGTGCTTTAAATGTGAGAATCTGGGCCTATTCATTACAATTTTGATGTGAAGCAATCTAGTATATTAATCTATATCATAAGCATGCTCCATGTTAGTTGTCATCTATAGCAGTCACTATTATCTCATAGAAAACATACACTGTCCAATATACAACCATGTGTAAAATGAAGCTTGTGTTGCCTACAAGTCACAGAAGTTTACAAGTTTACAGAAACATTACACAAAGGTGCTGCGTTTTTTGTGCCTGCAGGCTTGCCTTTTTTTTTCATCTGGTTGAGGTTAACTAGTATTTATGCTTAAAAGATGCATGAGGAGGAGACTGAGTGAATGTGTGTGTGAATGGGTGGATGACTGAATGTAGTGTAAAGCGCTTTGGGTCCTTAGGGACTAAGTATAGCACTATACAAATACAGGCCATTTACCATTTTACCATTTACTGAGAAAATAAGTAGAAACAACAGCATCATCTCTCTCTCTTTCTCTCTCTCTCCCACACACACACACACACACACACACACACACACACACACACACACACACACACACACACACACACACACACACACACAATCACTACTCACATGAGTATATGTGTTTGTAATAAAGCTCAAGTCCCACACGGATGCTGGCTAGTGTCTCTCATGCACCTAAGACCGGAAACAGGACCTCAGGGCATGAGTAGTCTGTTTGTGTGTGTGTCCTAGAGATACAGACACAAGGAGGACTGGTGAAAAATGAGGGGACAATGACTGAAATAGCAAGTATTGGAAGTTTTGGGTCAAAGGCCGGTGTTTTCTTTTTTGTCTTTCTTTTAAATTTTCCTTTCTTCATCTTCTTCTGTAATCATCCAAATTATTTGAAACCCTTCATGAAAGTGCAAACATGAAGCCCCCCCCCCCCCCCCCCCCCCCCCTCCTTAGCTAACTTGCAATTTTGGGAGAAAAAAAATTATTACAACCTTCACCTCTAAAATAGTCACATGAACAATCAAAAATCATCCTGGGAAATGAAGCAATGTTGAAAGCATTGAAAACTTAAGCTTGCCAAAGCTATTTGTTCAAATTCTGCAACTCAACTTGGTAATTTGCTTTTCTGAATGTTATATAATGGAGAGCGAAAACCTGCAGGTCTAACCAATAATTTTCTCAAGACTGTGCAATTGTTCCATAGTGACTCATGCGTTAAAGTATAAGTTTGGTATAAACAGCAGAATGACGGCAGCAAAATGAGCAGTGTGTGATATACGTACATTGCTTAGGTGTGTATTAGACGTTGCAGTGCACCAATGGCAACTTAAAGCTGTTTGCTTAAAGTTGAAACCAGTTAAAGAAAATACTTTTCTGGATATTTAGATTTCATTTTATTTATTTATCTTTATTTTCTTAAAGACCAATAAAGAACTCCAGCTGCAGCCATATTTGCCTGAAGCACCAGTAAAATGTTATTTTGTTTACTAAAATAGCAGTGGTACATTGTATTAGCAGTATTGGATTATAGCTAGTACTGGACTGTTCCAGGCCTACGGGATGTATCTGCTTCTTAATTTCCAAACACTAACCAGACAGCGTTGGAAAGTAGGGCCTCCTTTTTCAGACATGCTTATTTACCAATGTTTTGTTTTGCTTTTTTTAATGGTTTTGTCTATGTGTAAGCAACGATCATTCCCTGTGTTAATACAGCTCATTTAATACACTCGTGGAGAGACTTATGAAACTCTTTGGCAACTGATTAATTATGGAACCCTTGGACCTTGGTTCACAGCTGTTTTCACTACATTAACCACCAATATGTAAACTCACTAGGTCCTTTGAGATTGTCTTCCATTGTTATGCTGATGATCTACAATTATTTACACCAATTTCTGGAGGAAATTGATATGCCTGTTAATTTTGGTGAAAAGATGGTTTTAAAATTTAAGTATTACTGAACTAAAACATGGATGGACAGAAAGCATTTATTTATTTTTATTTATTTATTGTTTAAGAAAACCCTTTTTATTCATTCAAATGGCTTTCTTTCACCTGAGAAGTTTTGCTAAAATGAGACATATTTTGTTGTTCAAATATGATGAGGTTCTATTTTATGCCTTTGTGCATCTAGTTTGGATTATTGTATTGCTTTACTATTAGGATACCCAAAGAAGAGGTATGTTAGAGGTCTGAACGTGGTTTAGAATGCAGCAGCTTGCATTCTTACTGGTTCATCTAAATATGATCATTATACTTCTGCGCTTTGCCTCTCTTAATTGGCTTCCTATTTATGCAAGAGCAGACTTTATATCTGCATAACATTCTTCTTGAAAGTCGAAAAAGCCAGAAAAAACAGGATTTGTTTTGCCCCTTAGCAAGGTAGAGCCATTCATTCATGATTACTATAGTGCAGTGCTTGTTTGCTGCAGCGCAGTCATGGACAGAGCCTGGTCAGTGCACTACATATGGCTTATTTAGGGAGTTCCAAATACACAACAATGACAGTATAGATTACAAGTTTTCCAGTTTTACTACTCTTTACATTCACTGCTGCCAGCTTAGATTAAGTTGTAGTTAGCTCTGTTAGCTCTGGTCTGTGCTTTCTAAAGGACTATGATGGAAAGCACTCTTTAAATAAATATATTATTGTTAATAAAGAGGGTTTTTTAATTAACCTGCATAGTTCTTCCATACAAAAATTAAAATATAAAAATTTTAAAATAAATAATATACAGAAATCATTCAAGGACTAACATTTTAAAAGGACTGACAACAGAAGATGACTTGCAGAGGTTTATAGTATACTGAGGCCAGCGAGCAAATCATTTTCAGTGTAGTAATGTGCAGTGTCCAGCCCTGTAAGGAAACTGCATTGTTTGAGTTTTTTAAAACCAGGATTCATTTAACCCTCTGGGGTCCACGGATGCGCCAGGGCATCAAAATCACATGACCAATTTTAAAAAATGTACAATTTGTATTTGCATTTCAAGTTTTGAAAATGATTCGTTAAACATATTTTTGGTTCTTACAGTAAGAAATATAACTTTTTTCTACTCTGATTTTAAGTTTTTTGTCTGAATTCAGATCAATTGTGCTAATACATTATGTCAAAATGAAACCATAACTCCAAATTCAGATATGTGAGGTTGTGCTGAAAAGAATGATACCAAACAAGGCAAGAGAAACAGTTTTAAAAGGTGAAATGTAGAGGTCAAATCAAAAGTAGTCAAAAACAGCTAATTTTACCCTGGACCCCAGAGGGTTAAATAGAAAGCTGTATGGCCTCATTGCAAAAGAGTGTTATTAGGACATGTGAAAATAAAGAACACATCTGTTTTTGAAGCAAACTGCTAAATTTGCAATACTCCCCCCTTTCCTGTTTGTAATGGGTGTGTTATTTCCTTTTGGTGTCTGTGGAAGTTTTTTGGGTTTTTTTCTTAAAGAAGTGACAGTATCATTCCTGCATCTAATTATTAAGATTTTAATCATTGCTCATGTAAGGCAGTCAGTCAGCAATAAGAAGAGGCATTATGAGGAACAACTAAATGACAGCAGCAACACTAATTTAAAAGAAAGTCACAGGGATCGAGTCTCCATTTACAATGACAACAGCAGATGCCCATGTCGTCGTCTGCAGTTTATGGCCATTAAATGTCTGGAGGGAGCAATCAACAGGGCATTAGATGCCTGAGACAAGTCATTATCAAAAGAAAGTGGAGGAAGTGTCAGTGACCTCTCACTTTCATCAGACCTTCGGAGCCTGTGGAAGGAGATCCTGTCATTGTGTATGTATCTGCATACAACAGTTGATAGCTGAATATTGTACAAGACTGTGTAAGAAAAAGGACATAGAATGAGGGGAATTTCGTTTTTTGTTCCTGAACAACACAAAGAACAGTGCAGTGACTTATTTTTCAAGAATTTAAATGTGTTTGAGAGCAAGAGAGGAACGTTTGGGAAGTGTGTAGAAGAGAACAAAATGCTCACTGTGCCCAAGTGTGTGTCGACACACTCTTCATGCTTGTTAGTAATGTGTGATAAAGTCTGGCTGTGCGGAGTGAGAGACTCAGTGTGTGTTTTGTGTGTGTAAGTGTCTAACAGGCTATGAAAGGACCACCCTGGAATCCATAGATGTGAGGTCATTACTCAAGGATCAACAGCAAGGCTACATCCGTATATTGTCAATGTACGCCTAACTGACACATGCATAGGGGCTAGTTGTTCTTCACCATTACTTATTCACGCTACAACAAAGTGCTAAATTGACAATAAATGATGCAGCCTTGCAGGGTGAGATAATTTTTCACCTTTGAAAAATTGAGATACTAATGCTCAATCACAAAACTACACGGTTCCTAGAATATGCATTCAGTACCACATACAATGGAAGCTATAGCTTGAAATGAGGTAAACAAAGGACCATAGACTTTTTTTATTACTATTAAAAGATTTATGGAAATCTTCAACACTTTGCTTTAGGTTAGCTGTAATAGAAACGGGCTCATGGCATTTAAATCTGTTAACACACTTTATGGTATTAGTAGAAAAGCACTGAATCAGGACTGCTATGTCAGCA